ACTTCAAAAAAAGAGTTTCTTTAAATACCAAAAGACAGCGAATTGAATTCTCTACAAAGCCTACTATTTGAATCTCCGACAGCATTTTTCTTGATTGAGCACCATTCAAAATATTAAAGGATGCTGAGTTGGCGAACTGCGACACACTCAAAATAGAACGACATTTGCCTTGATCCAAAAACAGCTTCCATAAGAATTTTTTGAAAACATTAAAAGATTCACTGGAAAATTCTGCATCTTCTCAGATATTTTTCGAAATTTTGCAGTTAAATCTTCTAGGGAACTTTCTCTGTGCAAAAGCTGATAAATCTAAAAAACTTAACTTTTGAACCTATTTTTCGTAGACTTTAGTTTTTTGGCTATAAAAGCAGTGAAACGTCCTGAATCCAGGATTTTAGTCTTATTATCGTTCATAGAATTGAATTCTGTGTCTTTTGATATATAAACGAAGTTTCTCAATTGAAACCATTAATTAAAAAAATTAATTTTATTTGAAAAAATTGAAAAGTCGGTTGAAAACTAATTATGAGATTAGCTGACGTAGTAGAAATATTGCATGAAGTTGTAAATGATTGAGATCGATAGAACAAAAGATTCTCTATCTTTCTACCTAGAAAAATTAGCTATTGAACCTCAAACAATGAGCTAAAAATCTAAAAAAGCCGAGACGACAAAAGCACGTTGCAGTTTGACTACTCAGCATCCTTCAATATTTTGAATGGTGCTCAATCAAGAAAAATGCTGTCGGAGATTCAAATAGTAGGTTTTGTAGAAAATTCAATTCTCTATCTTTTGGTATATAAAGAAACTTCTTATTTGCAGAGGAAGTAGAAAAAAAATGTGGTAGTATTTAGTCCAGTTTATTATGGCACACCCGTTAATAAAATCACTTGTCATTCGAGCAGCTCATATTTGTTCAGAAGAAAAATTATTAGATGCTGAAATTAACTGGATCAAGGTTGTTCTTTATGAAAATGGGTATTCATCATGATTGTTAGAAAGAACTATTAAAATGATCACGATCGTCAGCGAAAAAGAAAGTCATACACATGTTTATAAAATCATCCATTTCAGCGTGATAAGTAATAAATAGAATGGGCGTGAAGCTGGAACCTTGTAGACCACCTCTCAAAATAGGGAACCATCGAGATCTAACGCCAGAGATCTCCACGAAGGCTCTTTTTCCTTCTAACCAAGATCTCTAGTCCACATAGGCCATCGGAATACCCGTTCTTGCCAGCTTTCCAAGATAACCCTCGAACCAAAGCTGATCAAAGACGGATTTAAAATCAACAAAACAGTAGCCACGGGAGAGCTATTAAACATAAGAGAGGATATTTGATCTATAAGAAGAACCACACGGGTCTGCAAACGAAAGTCCGCTTTGAAAGCTGCTGCGTATCTGGTAGAAGTCCCCTTATTTTTAAAACCTCAAGAAATCTCGACAAATATAATTTTTCTTGAATTTTAGAAAATCGTATAGGAGAGAAATAGGACGGGTAGAGAAAACTGGACAAATTGATTCCTTTTCTGTTAACAGAATCATTCTAATATCCTTCCGGGGGATGGATGCCAACAATTTGAAAAAGAAAAGTTAAAGAGCTGGAGAAACAGAAACCAATATTGGAAGGGAATATATTTGAACATAAACGTAGATAGACTGTGAGCATTACGATTATTTAAGGATGAGGGAACAATTGTTTGTCCCGACATTAAGGGAGTTGGTGCACGATGACCCATCGTTGTTGTTGTTGTGGGTGAATGACTCATCGTCGAGGGCATTGTGGTTTGATTATTCATTTGTGCTGGGGCTAACGGAAAAAACGGAATCGGTGGTTGTGGATTCGGTTGTTGATTGCATCTCTTTGATGTTTGTATAAGAGAGAAAATATATAAAATCTATCTTTTCTTCTCCATTTTATTTATCTTTTTCTATATGAACATTTTGTATATCAGATATGACAATTAATAGTTTTCTATTCGAGGTGTTGAAATTCATTAATGATAATACATACTCGCGTGTGAATGTTCGAAATTCAGAATATTTAACTATTGGTTGTAAAATATCGTCATGAAATGGCTTATATTTATGATGATTATCATCAATCCAATCTAGACGACAATGATTTGTTATGAGTTTTAAAACAAACGATCATAGTACCGGTGTGAATCTAGAGAGCAATTTCATCAGATTCGTACCAACTTTATACCGGACATTTGACACCATGTCTGAAAATCACATGGTTAAATAGAACTCGTCGCGTTGATTCCGAATCTGACGTCGAAATTAAAAAACAAGAAAATCTTTTTGTATGCCTTTAGAAAGACCCACATGATTTTCTGAAAAAAGTCGATTTTAGCCACTTTTCTATCCTTATATTTGTTCTTTCAATCTTTTTCTCTTTCTGGTGGGGAAGAACAATGGTGAGTTCCATACACAGACACTAGGTGATCTGTTCAGCCATCGCTAAAATTAATAAAAATCAGAAGTTATTCTCCTAACATTATGTGTAGCTTTTAGAACTTCTCACGAAAATTGCAAAAAGAGGCAGGATGAAACAAATTTTAAAATTCACTCCTCTTCGTTGAATTTAAATGCTGATCACCATTTTTATTTGATATTTGCATGTCTGATACATGGGTCCTAAGTTAAGACGCTTCTATCCGTCTTATTTTAAGACCCATGATATGCATATTAACTTGAGCCATACAACATAGTCAGCGCAAGCACTACGGATGCACAAAAAAAAAATCCCGCTTGGGACAAGAACATTTACAAGAATAGTCGGGCAGCTAGAGTCCTGTGGGACAAACTTTTCTGTTGCCCCGAGCCAACCCGCACAGAAAAATTTTTGTCCCGTCCCGTAAGCCCGAGCCCGTGAGCAAATAATGTTGTCCCGAACCCGTCTGTCCCGTGAAAAAAATTTATGGGCTTTTTTGCTCCGTCCCGTTTGTCCCGTAAGTTTTTGAAAAAGTTTTTCTGCTATGATAAACCGAAACTATTACAAGCGACGCTTAAAGTCTCAGGCTCGGTTTTGCAAAAAATCCGTATGACAAAATTCAAGTCTATTTTATTTAGGTCTAAACTTAAAAGTTGCAGTATGAAAGAATGCTTTACATCCACTCACTAGCTCGAAATCGAAAGGAAAGAACGGTAAACCTAGTTTTAGATATGGAACATCTTCTCAAATTTAAATCAGAATTAAATATTTGAAGTTGCAATATAATTACAATCAAAAGACAAAACTTACAGGACAACATTTTTCTGCAACTTGTCCCGACCCCGTAAGCCCGAGCCCGTGGAATTATTTTTCTTGCCCCAAGCCCATTAGTTTTTTTTTGTCCCGACCCCGTCCGTCCCACGGGACGGGACAGACGGGATGGGATTCGGGGCTGCTCCGCAGGAGTCTAAAAACTGTATTTATGTAAAATGTGCACATCACCACACATATGCACGACATGAATCGTTTGGAGTGATAAGATATACGTTCGTGCTTTTATCAAGCGGCAAGCAACAATATCAACCGGAAGAACAGAAATACAAATGTGAAACGTGTTTGAACCCAAATTTCCTTAATTCATCGTGCAAAGTGATCAAAGTAACATATCGAAATATAACGATATTCGCTTGCAGTATCAAAGAACTAAATCCCTTTTATCCTCGAAATCCGAAAGTCTATGAAAAATGTAAATGTATCCATCACCAGGCTGTTTTCCACACATCCTACATGCATGTAACAATCAAGGGTCGAGGCATATTGTGAAGCATACAAGTCTTTATTTCGTTTTCATTCAGAAAAGAAAAAAACCAACTAAACATATTTTTTAATCGAATATTAAATATTTGGCTAACACTGTGCTTGTTTCAATCATTTCTAGTTCGGTCAAGGTTTATTTGAGAACAGAATAAACGCGAAGAGTATATAGAGAATTGGTATAGGATATATATAGGCCAAGAACGATAAGGATACGATGGAAATTAATAACTGTATGCGAGGATATTTGAGACGGTTTTACGAAAAGAGATACAGAAATAATTTTGATTGCGTGGCAATACAGAACTTTCGTACGCTGATGTATACTTCATGAGAAATTGAAGTAGCAGAAGTTTGGTCGTCGATGTGGAGTAAACCTTTACTGTATTAGACGAAGTATAAAATGGTGCTTGTACATAGGGCAGTGTAATAAAAAAACGGAAATGATTCAGCATACTTGTTGTCTTTACTATTAAAATTAAATTGAGTGATTAAGATGTTCAAATAATAGTGTTTTTCATTTGTTTTTCATCTGTTACTGACCAAAAGTCAATATTATCTTTTCATTCTACTTTTGTTTGAATGTTTCACAAATATTTAATAGCATGTGTTCGTGATGCATAAAGCAAACTGACTCATTGATTTATCCAGAATGCTGTTTGCCTCTGCACTCAGTACCCTGTTACACTCAATATCTATATCAAGAATTGCGAAGAATAATTCCTCTGAAAGCTTTCGAGTCGCACTACTAAATTGGAAGGAAACATCATGCGTACTACTGTTGGAAGCAACAAACTACAATCATGTCAAAACCTATATGATGGCGATAGAAGCAATAGATTTGCTCTCTTGAATTCCTCGAATCAGGAAAGTGCAAAGTTGGCCATTACAAACTACAATCATGTCAAAACCTATATGATAGCGATAGGAGCAATAGATTTGCTCTCTTGAATTCCTCGAATCAGGAAAGTGCAAAGTTGGCCATTGTTGGTCTCGGACCAAGAGGTCTCGGTATTCTCGAACGTTTGACGGCTCCCTATGATCGGCACAAACACAACTATGACATAGATCTTTATCTAATTGATCCCGGCTTCCATCCTAGACAAGGAACACATTCATCAAAACAAAATGCACACTTGCTAATCAATACAGTTGCCTGTCAAATCACAATGTTCGGCGATGACACAGTAAAAAACTATGGCCCATTGAGAACAGGACCAGGACTTCTTAAATGGACAAATCAACGAGGATATCGACGAATGCCGAATAATCAGTATTTAATTACAACTGATAAGGCAAGTGAAGAAATTCAAGAAAATGACTATCTACCCCGCTCAATACTAGGCGAATATCTCAAATGGGT